AATGTTCTGACCGGGTCCCGGAGCGGTGAGAGCAGGCGAGACCCTGCCGTGTTCTGCCCGGGCTCTGGCTGGGAAGAAACAGTTGCAGAGGCCACGGACACGGCAACCGCCCGCCTGCCCGCCTGCGGCCTCTCCCAGGTTGCCATCAACAAACCCAAGACGGGCTTCGAGCCGCCACCCCCACCCCCTCCACCCCCGTGGAGCAGGCTGGGGCCAGGGCCGCCCTCGGCTCTTTCGGCACCGCCTGCCTTGGCTGGCTCCAGTTCCCCCCGGGTCAGCCCGAGGGTCACCCGTGCCTCCCGGCTGTTTGGTAGGGCTCCTTGCTGGCCACTGTGGGCTCCTCTGTCCGGACGGGAAGAGGGGATTCTACGCTGTAGAAGTGGGGTAACCCACAGAACCCAATTTTGTGGTTTTCTGGACTCTTATCCCCCAGAATCCTCTCAGCCAGCCTGGAGGATTCTGGGAACTGTGTCCCAGCTTTGTTCAACACTCATAGGAGGTGTCATGGGGGGCATGGGGGGGCAGAGCAGCACCAACCTGGTGATTGAGGCTTTCGTGGGTGCTTCCTTGGATCAGAGCCTGTCACCAAGTGGGGTGCCGTGTTCGAAAGAAGGCAGGACAGCTGTCCTGAGGTCGGTTCTACGCGCAATGGACCGACTGACCGACTAGAGATGGGCAGGCAGAGCTTTTACTGGTTCCCATGTGCTGCTTGTTGGCATCCTGGTCACACAACTCTTCCCGTTGCAGAACTTTGAATTTCTAGTGAAATTGCCTTTTGTCGTAGAATTTCAGAGACTCACAAAGGAGAATAGCTTCAAGTTCCCTCACATAGCCCACCCCTTCCTCGTTAACGGGCCCTTAAGGGTTCAATAACTCACACTGAGATATTTGTAAGAGAAATAATAAAAATGTTTCATTGCTTATATTTATGAACAGAGCAACAGCAAGCAAACAACCTGCTTCCCGCAGACTAGAGAGGAGGAAAGAGAGAGGCAGGAGGGAATGATTGGTCAGTGCTGGATAGATTGATACTCCTCCCAGCCCGGAAAAGTCCCGCCCAGTTATTCAAACCACAGGCAGCCTGCGAGGTTGCAAATAAAACTCCAGCTTTCCACCCTTGGACTCCCTTCGTCGGCCCCTGCGCAGGCAAACGGGTCCTGCCTCCCCTTCCCACCTTGTCCTGCCCGGAGGTGGGTGGAGGAGAGTCCTTGAAGTGTGCGGCAAACATTACTAAAAAAAGGTTACTTTTCTTGACTGCAGCTCCCAGAATCCTGCCACCTGCATTGCAAGCGGCCTTGCTGACTCTGGGGATTCTGGGAGTTGTAGTCCTGAACAGCAAGATTTGAGGCTGTATGCTGTTCTACTCGGGGGAGTGGGTCACCCTTGCAAGCAAATAGAGGAGGGCAACCCCACCAAACCAAGCGCCTCCCCCCGTCCCCCACCTGCCACTGGGGGATTAATTTTGCCGCAGAGCAAGCTCTGAAAAGAGAAAGCTAAGCAGAAAATGTTCTTATTCATAGCCGCCCCCCCCCCACTCCCCGCAATGGGTGTCAACATTAAAGGAAAGTCTGTGATCTTTTTCCATTGAACCTGGGAGCCAGGAGCACCAGTGTGTGTGTGTGTGGGGGGGAGTTACGCGAGTGGGTGAGCCCTGAGTGAGTGCGTGAAAAGGAGAGAACCCCCCCAACGGAAACCCTGCAGAATAGGGGCCACTTCCCACGGCCAGGCCTTCTCAGGAGCCGCATTCGGAGGAAGGGGGTCTGATTCCCAGCCGCTCCCAGTCTCTCTGCATACAGTAATGCGGAATTCGTCCAGATCTCTACGAGGCGGCGTTTACAGCAAGAGGACTGTATCGAGCGGCCTCCTTTTCATCCCTTAGCAATGTTCTGTATGTCGGACATAGATCCATTTTAGATCATCTTGGTCTAAAATACAGTCTTCTAGCTAAGGCTGGTGTTTTTTTTTCTTTCTGGGAAGGAACATCCAGGTGGGAGCGGTTCGGCCCTGATCCGTCACTTTCTGGGGCCCCCGTCCTCTGGGCATTTGAGCTGCAGAGGTCCGCCTGAAGGGAGCCAGGCTCTTGGAAACCTCCTGGTCGTTCAGGTGGCTTGTGCAGGATCATGCCCGGGGGCTCAGCCCTCTCTGTCTGGGAGCTGGCTGTCCCTGGGGGGCAACTCACCCGCTCTGCCTGCAGCTGCCCCACCACCTCAGCATCACCGGTAAGGAAACCCCCGCCTTTGATCCTTCTGTTGGGAGGCCCCTTTTTGAAAACTTTCGGGACGCCTTCCTGCAGCACAATCTGGCACACCTTTTACTTGGATGTAAATCCCACGGAATCCCTTCTACAAGGAAATGGGCATAAGCGTGCCATGGGAGAAGACCTGGCTTAAGGATCAGACCCCACAACCTCTCTCCTCCAGGACTGGGCCCCTCTGAGGAAACGGATAAGCGTGGCAGGGAGGCAAGAGAAAACGGCCCAGCATCATCGTTATTAAAGTATAAAACACCCTCCTGCACCCTGGCACCCTTTTGAATGTGAAGCACTACATCGTCCACAATCCCCCGTTGGAGAAGTCCCCCAAAGTTTGAGTTTCCAAGCTCTACAAATAGCAATAAAACCGAGCAGTGCTCCATTCGTTTGTGGAACTCCAGGCCACAAGGTGTCGTGATGGCCACTAGGCAAGGGATCTGCCGAAGGGGATTGGGAAAATTCCTGCGAAAAGGAGTGGGGGGGGGAAAGGGCCACGTTATCCCTGGCAGATCCTGAGCCGGACTCCTGCCTGCCCGGCGACGCCATCATGGCCCCTTTCGGCTGGCGCTTTTGAGTGGGCACCGAGACCGGCTGGTGATCTCATGGGACAGGGTTATGAAACGGGGAGATGATGGGAAGCATCTCCTGTATTCTGGGGACTGAGCGGAGCTGAGCCCAGGCTGGCTCGGGTCAAGCATGTGCCGATGAGATGCTGGAAAGCACGGCGGCGGGATCGGCCACCCGATACATCCAGGTGAGGCCAGAGGATGGGATGTCAGGGGTACAGCTGGAATTGCAAATCCCCTTCCCCGCAAGGGAGGATGGGTTTTCCAGATTTGATGCCACCAACTTGGGTCTTGCAAGGAGAGAGAGAACAGAGTTCTTTGGCCCACAGCCTTCCTCCTCTTCCTCCTCCTCCTCCTCCTGGGGGCTCTGGGTGGTGGGCCGGCTCCTCTCCCCGCTTTTAAAGGGCCATCTGCTCCTTCTGGAACCACTTCTCTTCCTCCATGTTGGTGAGCTCATGCTGGCCGTGCTTGGCCCCCTCGTTCTGGGGCGGGTGGTGAAGCTCGATGAACAGCATGTAGAGGACCGCTCCGAGGGCGCCCCCCAACATCGGGGCGACGATAGGGACCCACCACCAGTTGTTGCCAGCCCTGCGGGTAAGAAGAAGGGAGAGAGAGCGACCGGCAGGGTGAGTTCCAACACCAACAGCCGGGCTTCCATGTTAGGGATGTGAACGCTGGTCTCAAGGGGGTTGCATTTCAACCTCTCCATCTTGTGGGCTGTATTGTGTTGAATTAAACTGTCTGCACAAAAACTCAGCCAAAGTGAAATAACTGCCCGCCTTTTCCTGCTGCGTTTTCCCATCTCCGCTTCCGGTGAGAGGAGTACCAACTCCCATGAAGCTTTAGCCAGTGGAGCTACAGACAAAATCCTTCCACTTGGAAAGAGATTTGCAATTTGTAACGTAAGAGTCGTTAAGTTAAAATATAGGGGCAGTGTTAGGAACCGTGTCGGGGTTTGTCCGCTAGATGTCGCTCATGCAACACCATTAAAGGCGTGTGTGCAAGTTTATTTTGGGTGACATTTCCCCCAGTGCAAGCAAGACCATTCCCAGGTCTGGTGCCCGACGATGGTTTTGTGACGCCTAACCAGGCTCTGGTTAGAGTTAATGAGGAGGTCAAATCCTGTCATGCAAGCACCCGAACCTCCTCAGCTCCCAGTTTTCTGGGCTCGGTTTAAAAATATGGTCTGGATCTTCATCATCCCACCCAGTGTCACCATGTCTAGCATGAGGTCTGTTCTGCTGATTTCAAGGGCACTTACCAACGGGAGGGAGGGGGCAGCTTGGAAACCCGAATCTCCACCCCCCACCCCCCACCCCAGGACAGGACATCCTCGCCCTCCACGGGCTTGCCTGACAGCCTTGGCCTTTCTGCTCGCCAGGGAGGCGAGTGCCCCCCCAGTTGGTGCCCCCAAGGGGTGGGGTGGGGTGGCGGAATGGCCCCCTTGGGTGGCAGGGGGATTCCCCTTCCCGGCTCGCTTTTGGACTCTCGGCCTGTCGGTCCTGTCAGACTCGCTCCCGTGACCACAGACGGTGGTGGTTGTCTAGCGCAGCCCCTCTGCAAGTTTGCTCAGGCAGTGGTGGGTGGATTCCGGCGGCGACCTTCATTCGGGGCGTTGCTCTGATGCAGTAGCAGCTATTCATTTGGTTCGGTAAATATTATCTCTAGCTTGCAAGCTGGCTTAGTTGTACTTTTGTAGGGAGACTAGGGGCTTGAAGGAAGCTTGCTTAATTTCTCTCTCAACGATACAGCCTCCTGAGAGTCCATTGATTAGGAGGTTGTCTCAAAAGGGAGTGTGTGTGTGTGTTTTTTTTTTAAAGGAGTTTTCTGCCACTTGTGCAGAATGTGTCCAGGAATAACTTGTGTTCCCCCCCCCATTTGTGAAGCAAAAAGGACACACAGAGCAAGCACCGCAGGATGGCTGATGGAGCAGAAAGACTCAAAGAACCCATCCAGGGCCTCTTAACCTTTAACAGTTCATGTGACAGTTCTGCACTTACTGGACATCCGTGCAGTTTGCACAAAAACGTGTTTGCTCTCAAACGCCAAAACTCTAGCTGGGATGAAAGGGACACAATCCCTCCATCTTGCAGATGAAGGTAAGGGATGAGCGTCTCCTTCTTACACATGAAAAGCGGACACTTGTGGATTTGTGTCCACAAAGTGGGATAAATACCTTGAGGGACCACACTATTGCACATTTTGGTGTTTTGCAATCTCTCTCCTCTCCTCTCATGCTCTCTTTCTGTCCTCATCTCACCCTGAGGATGGGAGCCAGACCAGTGATTGGGGGGAGAAGTTTCCTTTCCATGTGGTGGCCACACTCAGGCCAGCTTGGCTCCGATAAGATTAGAGCTATCTCAGAAAAGTTACTTTTTGTAAACGAAAATGGCCAGAATCCCTCCATCCTTCTGACCATACTAGCTTGGAGGATTCAGGGGCTTTAGGTCCCATGGGATGCCCAGAAAGAGCCAGGATTTCCTGACTCTTACAGGGTGCAAAGTTTCTGTCTCTGTCGCAACTCACAGACAGTGAATTGTTCCCCATTAAGCTTCTTGCCTCTGGCTATGCCTACCTTACAGGGGGGGGGGTACTAAGGATGATCATGAAAGTGAAGCACCTTGAATCTCTGGAAGCAGTGTTTCCCAGCCGCTGGCTATGCCTACCTTACAGGGGGGTACTAAGGATGATCACTGGATCATGAAAGTGAAGCACCTTGAATCTCTGGAAGCAGTGTTTCCCAGCCTTGGCCAATCCAGGGGCTCTTGGACCGCAACTCCCAGAAGCCTTTGCCACCAGCTGTGCAGGCAAGGGCTTTTGGGAGCTGCGGTCCAAGACCACCTGGGGAAACCCTGCACTAGAACGTGGAGCTGGGGTTTGTTTGTTCTTAACGACAACGGCGCAGAAGTGAACCCAAAGGGCGCCGGGCATCTCGCGATCTCTTTTTGTGCTGCTGACTTACGTAAAGACTTCCGGCCCCCATCCTGCCATGTAGCTGAAGATGCGCGGTGCGATGTCTCTGGCGGGGTTCATGGCGCATCCGGCGTTCATGGCCAAGGAAGAGGTCAGCAGAAGGATGAGGAGGCCGACGGCGATGGGCTCCAGCCCTTTCGGGACCCTCAGGTTGCCTTCATCAAAGATGGCAAAGATGCCCAGGAGGAGGATGGCGGTGGACATCACCTGGAGGGGGGTGCAAAGCCAGTGGGTTCCCAACTGGAGGCTGGATGCCCAGCCGGATAAACAGGAAGGTTCAACATGGTAGGTTCTTTGTGTATGTGTATGTGTGTGTGTTTTTTACCTGATCTGCAAATCCGTTGATGGGCGTCAGGTACTCTGCTGGATAGGTTGCAAAAATGAGGGCGGTCGCTTTGGGTCCAGTGACGTTGAATTCCCCGCCCGTGTAGTCCATGAGGGCATCTAAGGAACAACCGTCACAGATCAAGAAGGGCCAACGGAGACCTCACACCTTTGAAGCATGTGGGAGCCCCCCCCCTCCCTTCTGCTGCGTTTTCCGACAACCTGGTCCTTAGACTCTCCGTGCCCAGTCAGGCAACCCCATGCAGTCAGGCCCCTTTCCTCCTCCCCCTCTAGTTCACCATTAATAAAAATAATAATAGGATTATTATTCGTATGGTGAGTGCAAGCAGGAAAAATAGGCCAAACCTGGTCTAGGGTATTAAACAACCACCTGGGGACACAGAACCTCCAGACGAGGCGGTGCCTTGTGGTCCCTCACGAGGAGACCAAGGTGGGAGGGACCGGCCAGTTTCTGAATGGGTGTTGAAAGGGGACCAGCACGGGGGCCGTGAGGAGGCCCTTCCCAAAGCTGTGAGGGCACCGGGGCAAAAAACCCCGTTCCCGGTGTCTGTGTCGTGCACAGCTTGAACTGCCAAAGCATCCAGAGAAGTGGGGCCCTGCCGGCATCGCTCAGCGCTTCGGCCCTCACGGTTTGGTCACCACCAGCACCGCCAGGCGCCTGGAATCCTTTCACTAGGAACTGCATTTTTTCCATGCCTCCTCCTGATCCAAGACAATACAGTATTTTAAAAATGTCATCCTGTCAGGATCTCCAAGGTACCTATGACACACCTGTATGAGGAATGATGCAAACTGCGATCCAAAGCATTTGGGGTGGGGGGGCATGGGATGGGCAGGGGGTGTCGACTGAGAGGGTGCAGTTACGTACTTCTGGGTGAACAGACAGAGGGCTTGGCTGTCGGTGGCAAGGAATCAGCAGCCTCTGAGCCTGCTTGTCTTGTGTGTGTGCGTTGTATGTGTGTGTGTGTGAACAAGAGGGAGAAATGTTGTTTTACAAGAGGTAGCGCACAGGGAAAAAGAAAAGTCCATAGCCAGGGCGTGATGAAAAACCCACCCTTCCTGGCAGGGGCCCTTTGGCATGGCTGCATTTCTGTACAGTAATCAGCTGGAAGTGAAATTAAAAGAATTGGTTCCACTTGGCACTTAATATGGTGCTACATTCCACATAAAAACCTCTCACGTGGGCCACATGCCTGAACCAACCCCTTAATTAGTCAGCCCCTATTCTCTGCCCACGGGAGGAGGAGGGGGAGGGAGGGAAGAGATTTAATTACTCACTTCCTCTTTGCAATTGCTCGTAATTTTTTTTAAAAAAATTCTTTTTATAAATGGCAATTGCGAAAAATAAAATTAATGACTGCGCAGGGTAAAGTCAAAATTAAAGCCTTCCCTTCCCGCAGTAGGAGCAGTGGTGGACTTATTACAAGCCAAGAGAGGAAAGCTGACCAAGGCAAAGTTCAGGGGATGATAAAACAAGGAGCTGCTGATTGAGAGGGCCAGGAGGAAGCGGCTAACGGAGCAGGCAGTAGCCCCGGGAAGCCTCCAGAGTGCCAGGCTCCACCAACCCGGAACAAACTGAAGCGACAGTGGGATGAGAAAGAGGGAGGCAAGAATTCTGGCCCGAGAGACTGATTATACTCCAGGATAGTCACACAGTCCTCAGAATAACCGAAGGCAGAAATGGGCAAGATGGCAGCTTCACAAGCCGGAGGTGATAAAACATTGTTGCTCCGGAGATACATTTTCCAAAGCGGCCTGGTTTGCACAGTCACCCTGCAAACAAAGCCTGGCATTTGCTATTTAAGGGCGTTGAAAGGACGAAAGCTCAACAAATAAAATGCCAACAAATTGGCAACGTGCAGAGCTGCAAAAGAATACTATGGAATAATCCATCATCTTTTTTTACTTAAGTCAGCTCTGCGTCTAATTGTGAAACTGTCATCGCATCTGTTCCCACCTTGAATAAATAACAAATGGAGTTCAGCTGGGGGGGGGAACGCAATGACTGCGGAACCAGTTCATACTTGCAGAGAAGTGATTCCAATGTCTTAATTGGAGTTGTATAATTTTTCACATAATGCCATAGGCCCTCCCTTCATTATCTTTTTGTGGTCTTTTTAGAGGTGTGGGTTACTACAGTTTTGACAAACTCAAACGCTTGTTCGCTTGATTGTGATTCTTCCATTCTTGTAATTCTGGAATAACCTTACCATCACCTTAATTCCTCTCTCTCAGCTACGTGATCTTTTCCCTCCTTCAGAAAGGTGGCTGTGTTCATGCTTAAATCATGGAAGCTAGATTTCTCCAGGTCTTCCCGCAAAATGTACATTTCAGTCTGAAACCAGGGCCAAGGGCCTCCCACCAGCACATTCCTTGTGATTTCGGGTTGGGTCACTCAACACGAACTCTCTCGGTTCTGAAGGGACTTTTCCCCCCAAGTGGATACAGGGCTGGGGATTCTGTGGTCTCTCCCTAGATTCTACCAAGGAGGAGAAGCTTCTGGTGGCCGAAGTGGACCCTTCCACTCACCATAGTTGATGCCAAAGACCACAGCAGCTCCGACGAAGGCACCAAGGCACTGCGCGATGGTATAAATGGGGAATTTGATCCATTTAACTTTCCCGGCCAGGCACAAGGCGAAGGTGACCGCTGGATTGATGTGGCCACCTGAAAGAGAACCAACAGGATAAAAGAGAGGGACAGAACTTGTCTTGCGCATCACTTCTTGATTAAGAAGAGAACAGTCTCCTACGGGGGTGCCAAGGACCAGGGCTTTAAAAAGAGCATTCAGAGGAACTTTCAGAGGTGTTTTAATGGAACTGTTCATTTCTTCAAGTTCCTTTTTTTGGGGGGGGGAGAATAAGATGAAAAGGTAAAGGTTCCCTTTGACAATTTTTGTCCAGTCGTGTCCGACTTTAGGGGGCGGCGCTCATCCCGCTCTTCAAGCCATAGAGCCAGCGTTTGTCCTAAGACAATCTTTCCGTGGTTACATGGCCAGTGTGATTTAGACACGGCACGCTGTTTACCTTCCCACCGAGGTGGTCCCTATTTATCTACTCGCATTTGCACGCTTTCGAACCGCTAGGTTGGTGGGAGCTGGGACAGGCGACGGGAGCTCACTCCGTCGCGTGGATTCGATCTTACGACTGCTTGGTCTTCTGACCCTGCAGCACAGGCTTCTGCGGTTTAGCCCACAGCGCCACCACGTCTAACAACAAAACAAATCAACGCAAGAAAACAGTGTGTTTGGGGAAATAAGGGCTTTTCTGAGGTCTCCAGAAGTGCAGGGAGTTTAAGGGGAGGCGAGACAACGGTCCATCACAAGCAGTCCAGGAAAAATGCTCAGGGCTGGTTGGGTTCAGTGGCTCAAAACTGTGTGGATTGGCCCTGGCACGGAGGAGGAGACCAGGCTGCCCACCGAGCAACAGGGAATGCTGCACCGGGCCGGATGCCTCTTCCCCTCCGAGCCTTTGTTAGGCGTTCTTGTGTCAGTAGCAAAGTCTGGCTGCAGGAGACAGAGAGAGAGAGAGAGAGAGAGAGAGGATGGCCTCTGACTTTAATCAAATGTCCCCGATAACGGAGACGGGGGAGTCACGAGGAGGCGAGGGGCCCCCGTCTGGGCCGGGCCTCTGTGTGCTTGCGCTGGGGGTCAGGGTGTTATCTGGGGCACCTCCAGCTCCTCTGATGTATCCCGAGCCAGCAAACACAGATAAGAGGAGTCGAAAGAGAAGTATTGTGTCACTTCCACCACCGTGTGAGAAGCCGGGCATCCCGTCTGCCCTTTGGATTCCTTCTTTCAAACACTTCATCTGGGGGGGGGACCTGACGGTGTCTCGGGCTGCCCCCCACCCCGAGAGATGGGAGGCTTCTCGCATCTCCTTGTCTCCGAGGTTTCTTGGAATGGCAGGGACAATTTTCTCCTCTTTCAGCAATTCCAAATATGGGAGACCTCTCCAGGCCAACCAGGCAGGCCTCTTTCGCACTTCAGAAGGAAAGGTTTGGGTTTTTTTTTTCAAAAGCAAAAATCTGAGACCGAGGCCTTCCCGACCCTTAATGGTTCCTTTCAAAAGAGCAGGAGCAGCCTGCCTTTCTCTCCGGCTCCATTCGAGTTCATAAAGGGAGAGCAGATTTTTCTCGAATATCTTCATGGCAAGGAATCATAGAAGCCCGGATCTTAGGGGTCGCCCAGTCTCGCCTCCTGCCAAAGCAGGAAAATTTTGAGAGAGGCAACCCCTGCTCAAAATCCTCCAGCAAAGCTTTGGAGGGCGCCTGCTGATGGGGGGGGGGGGGGGGGGGCT